ATATATATATAATAATTGATTACTTTATTTGGATTAATAAATATAGATATCGTATAATTAAATATGATAAAAAAATAACAAAAAATAAATATATAAAAAATAACTACCCATTCAAATAGGGGAATAGTTTCAAATTGGAGTTTTAAAATTATTTTAAAATAAAAAAACGAAAAATCTATTTATATATATAATATATAATATAATATATGTATAATATATAATATAATATATATATATATATATATATATATAATAGGAGAATCAAAGAAATCTATATATATATATATATATATATAATAGGAGAGGCAAAGAAATGTTATAATGACAAGTGTCATAATTTCTATTAACAATATAATAGGATAATATAATAAATAAAAATACATAACGAAAAAATTATTTGATGACTATATAAGTCCCTTTAATTTAATGGAGATTTTATTTATTAAAATTTAGACAATATCTATTCTATTTATATAGAATAGGATAATCAAATAATTGTGATAATTCCAAATGTAACATCGAAAAATTAACAAAGTAACAAATATTTTTTTAATATTGATCGCGCATCGCGCGGGTACGACTATTAATTTTATGTTAAAGTGAGAACCCACGACCTTAAAAATCCAAATTAGCCATGAACAAGAGTACGATGGAGAAAACAGTAAAAGTAATGCTCCATTTGTCTGTGACACAATAGTTGTACGCTTGTGCTCCACAAGATTAGAAAATAGTAGAGACGTCTTTGTCACGGAGAAAATAATTGAAGGTGGGAGAAAAAGAATTGCATCAGCCATGAGTATATACAAGAAGCAACGGAAGTTGATAGAAAAATAGAATTGGTTGTATTACACACACTGTTTTGAACGTTTTAAATTACTTAATCTTATTCCATTTCAACATAATTTTCACAACTTTCAAGAATTCGAGTTCATTAAGCTCTTTAAAATCTTTAGCTTTGAAATGATATTTTCTAATTATTCAACCATCATCTTTATATTTTTGTCTATTATCACTAAAACGGTATAAATCAAAGCGAACATCTTGACATGTAAAGTCAAATATCACCACATAAAAGGAGATTGAACGGGATTATGTAATGAAATAATATCTTATTTTTGACAAATGGTACTTGGAATGTAACTAGAATAAATAGATTAACGATACTTCTTTATTTTTTTAAGATATTTCGTACAATCAATCACATAATATCTTTGGTCTTCGCTCGAACAGACGAAAAGATGAGATCAGTACTACTATTTGGAGCAATCTAGCACGTATCTCCATTTGTACCAAGAGGAACCCTTTTGACGAGCCTGACTTTCAGACCGTGTTTCATTTGAATAATAATAGAAGCACTTGGAGAAATTGTTTGTGGTTCCATCAGTTGGATATGATAATTCTGTATGATAATGGCTGCCACCATTTTCATTTGAATGAATGCCATTTCCTTCCCTAAACAAGTCCTTGGACCCGCATTGAATGCAGGAAATGTAAAAGATGACTTGTGTTTGATCCTTCCTTGCTCTGAAATCCATCTCTCTGGCTTGAATTCTAAACAATTCTTTCCCCATATAGTCTCCATTCTCCCCATTGTATAGAACGATAGCACAATTCTCGTGTTTGGCTTGACACGATGACCGCTTGGAAGTATGTCAAATTCAAGTGGAACTTTATGCTCCAAAGAAACTGATGGAAATAGCCTAAGAGATTCACACAAAGCACCATGTAGATAGATCAGTTTTAGTGTTTCTTCTATGTTGAAAAACTTGAGGTTTTCATCTTCTTTTAGATGCAATTGTTGTTGAATCTCTTCCCTAATCTTTGTCTCTACTAAGGGATTTTTAGCTAAGAGCCAGAAGAACCAAGTGAGAGTTGCACTTGTGGTGTCTCTCCCAGCAAACATCAAATTTACAAAAGTATCCCTCAAAAATTCTTGTACATTGCCTGAAATTACAGTCTTCCATTGATTGTATGCTTTAACATAGACACTTAACATGTTAAAGTCCTCGTCTTTGAATGTTTTGTTCATCAACTCCTCTTGCTTACTTGAAATGCAAGGATATAGAAATTGATCAATAGCTTTCCATGCTTGAACAAGCTTCTTCTCTTTACCAATGTGAAGCCCTTTTTCATGTGTTCCTCTCTAATAAAATTCGGATGACTCATTAAGGACATAGTGGTCTTCCTATGAATCTCCCATAGTTCGGAATCTACATTGAAGATCCCATTTCCTAATATATCGAAAATTTTACGGAACTCAAGACCCTTTGGATAGTTGGAGAAATTTCTACTAAGGATGTGGTGTATATTTGCAGGATCACTAGTAATTAACATGTTTAGGTTGGCAAGAACAGGACCACGGAACTCAAAAGTGCCCCCAGTTTCTCCAAGAAAAGTAGTTACAAATTCATGGACACGATGAGCATTTCGAATAAGGCCAGGTAACATTCCAAAGAGAGGCCAACTTGTTGGCACTGAGCTTTTCCACCATCTATGTATAAGTTTCCACCATGTAAAATAAGTGAAAAAGAGGATTATCAAGAGAGAAAGAGAAGATTCAAGGACATACATTGGGGTGCAGTTTCTTTTTCAAACTATCTTTTGTTTTGTTAGTATTTTGTAAGACACTATACGATCTTTTTCAGAATCTACACATGGAACATGAGAGTGATCAGAGAGATACTGAATCTACTAAGAGACTAAACTTGTTTAAATAAGGAGCATTTCTTGTTTCTGAAAGGGTAGGAACTTCAGTTTTACAACGAAAAGTTGTATTTTAATAATTAGAAGTAATAAAAGACTGAAATGGCAAGCTTTTTATTAGCTTCGAAGAGGTTGCAGTCAGCCAACTTAATTTAGAAAGCACCCCTTACGTACATCTTCCATTACAATTATAAACCACAAAAAAAAAAAAAAAATAATAATAATAATAGACCCACTATTAGGTATTGAGTTCACTAGAAATAACAAACCAATGTGTTACTTAAACTAGCCATTAATTAGTGGTTGTACTATATACATAAAAGAGAAATTACAAGGAACTAAAAGCAAGACGTGCATGGCCTCATAATTGAGTTAGTCATCCGATGAGAGGCAATGTCAGAATTTGTAGTTTATGGGTTCTGAATTTATCATCGAACTCATAATTTGTTGCAGTTCTTGGTTGGCAATTAAATTTACACTAATAAACTTTTTTAATACAAATCCAGGATCTAAGCAAAAACTTCTGGGCTTATTTGAATCTGTACCTAGTACTCTAGCTCTACCCCTGTTTCCGATCGCTATGTTGGAGCCCTAAATGAGTATTGGCAAGTACAAGTGTCAATGTCATTTGACTGGGAAGATAAAGATGTGGGAATTTGGCAGGGAGTTATACATATCAGTCCTAAATAATGAGTTAGATATTGGTGCCATCCATGTCCTCTTAGTTCTCTCCTTGTGGAAAATCTCTAACAGGGAAGGAAGGTTCATTACGCTTATAATTTTAATGCACTTCTACTTCTTCCCAAATGTTTCAACTTCAGTAAATTTTGGACAGTATTTGAATTGAAATTGAAGAGAAAAGTACTTAAATTAAAGAGCTAATAAAAGTTATCTGGGAGCAAAAGATTTTAAGAAGGCAAATCCAGCTGACGACCAAACTAGTATTTGCAGCTACTAATTTCAGTATTCATGTTTAAGTTGAGATAACGAAGTTTAGTATTTACAAATGCCCATGACCAAACTAGTATTTGCAACTACTAATTTCAGTATCTGCATACTCTGAAAGTGTATTTTATGACTAAACGGGCCTAATGTCGTATCTTGTACAATCTTATCCTAAAATTCAAATGTACCCTGAACAAAACGATGGTGACTAACTGAGCATAACGATATTACAATTTCTGTCCAACAACAGTAAAAGTGATAAACTGATAATGCTCCATTCTGTGACCAATCATGTAAACTGTTTTATTACAATGGTAGTATCATTTTTAGTCTTTGATTGATTAGATAATTGAAACAATCATACTAAGGACAATTCTGTAAAGAGTTGATCAGAGACATAGGACCAATATCATGTGAGATTCTTTAATGTATTTGTCGCCATCCTGTTCCAATAAATCCAAGGGAGTACCTCTTTCATTATGACCTTTTTTAGTAACGATTTCGGATGATACCTAGTGTTAGTTGCCGACAACTATTTTTCAATATCTTTTGAGGTGGCAAGTCTTGGGTAAAATTATTTTCATGTGACTAGGAGATCACAGTTTAAAAGAGATGCAAAGTAAGCATGCGTGCAAATAGACCTTTGTGATCCAGCTCTTCCCTGAACCCCGGCGCATAGAGGGAGCTTAGTACTTCCACGGCTCAAAAATGTGACGTAAGGCTGCATACAATAAAGATGCGTACAATAAACCCTTGTGGTCCGACCCTTCTCCGTTTCCGACGCATAACTGAAACTTAGTGCACCGGACTGCCCTTTTTTTCCAATATCTTGACAAACTTAGCCTGTGGAACAGATTTATATTATATATTTACATTTGGCATAAGGATTTACGGGACACCTTCCGACTCTTGAATTTCATCTAGAACAGAAATATAATTCACTGAAATTCTCAGGAGGGTTAGAAATCCTTTAAGAAAGATTGGTGCCCAACAGTAAAGAGTTTGTCATCAATTTTAGACTAAACATAAGCCATCACCAAGCTGATGAATGTATAAGCAGTTAACATTCAGGCTCCAAAAAGAAGAAATAGGAAAAACGAAAAAGAGGAGATTTCAGGATTTGAAAAAATCAAGAAACTATTGTCAACCTATAGGAGTAATTTGGTCAGATTTACAATCACCAGAATACGAGCAAGACCTCAGTCCACTGCAAATATACATGACCTAATCTCTCAAAATGATTTGAACCCTGTATATGCTGATTTTGGGATTATAATCACCTAGGGTGGTTTTGGAATGAGACAAGTGCATGAATTGCTAAAGAAACAGAAGAAACTACAAAACTAAGAGCAGTTTGAAAGATCGGTAGGACGAGTGTAATCCAACTTTTCCAGAAAATACCAAATGTTGTTTTAACACCCTCTAGAAACTGGTGTACACCTAACATCTGGGGCTTCATTCCCCCTAGAAAAAGATCTGATTTCTATTTCAGTGCGATTGCGACTCAAGAAGGATATTTGTGGCTGTATTAACATCATTTCCAGCATGGATGAGTGCCTGCCTTGCCGCGTTCCTATCAAAGCCCATTGACATCAGCATCGCTATAGTGTCTTCTGGTGGCTCTACGGTGGACGGGGCTGGAGCAGGATAGTTTCTCTGAAATATGCAGGAGAAAGCAGTATATTCATGTTAGTGTGGGCATAATCTTTCAAAAAGGATCTAAGAAGTTTAAGTTGTCACTGGAGTTGGTTCCCATTGGAACACACCAAGAATCAACTAATTGGTGATGAATATGGCCTATCAATTCACTCATCTTTTGAACAAGGTGACCTCTCAATTCCATTGGTCTAGATTAAATGTGAAATTCGATGACATAAGTGGAAAAAGTGAAAGCTAAATTTAACTGATAAAGCTCTAACATAATAACAGTGCTTCCAGAGTGCAAATATCAGTTCATTTAGTTCAATCACTTGCAGTAGCCATCTGAACATTTTGGCTGAATGTACACTCAAAACACTTGAAGGCTCAGAATTTTCCAGTAGACATCAAGTGGACAAGAAATGTTAAATCATTTGCAGGCATTGACTATTCCACCGACCACCTGCTACCTCTCAGGCTCCAACCATACTCTAATTTGAACATCAAAAGAATGTAATTTTACAGTAAACTCTACGCAATAATTGTGCTATCATCATTTGATGGATTGAATAAGTCTACACAATATTAAACTCATTATTCTCTTTTTCTTTTCTTTTTTGTTTGTTTTGAAGAGTAAAAAACTCATTTATTCTGAAATTGCTTTTCCATGTGTTGTCGATAAGGTATAACAGGAAAGAAACTCGCATCATCCAGATGAATAAAAGGGGGCTAGATGAGGTGGTTAATGAAAGCATCAAACATGGAACTATCACTTAACTGGAATCTTCATAAAAGAAATTTTAATGTCACAGGTTGTTTTATCCACACACACAAAAAAATGATGTCACGGGTTGCCTCTTTGTATAGCTATAACAGGAGAATGCCCCTGGGATTTGTTTGTATTTCGGTAATCACTACATGTTTCTTGGCATGTTTGCTCCTGATGTCCAATATATGTCTTCAGCAGTACAGCTAATTTATCAAACATCTCGAAAATGAAACTGCAAAGACAAACAGTACCCCTTCACCAAAGCCAAGTTCTGCTAGAATGTCAAAAGCTTTAACCTAGAATAGTAAAGATAGAACCCTAGAACTGAGGAGATGGAGGTTCGGCTGTCTCTGTGTAAGACTAAAGTTACCACATGTCGCTAATAAAACACAAATTTTACTGCACATACCCATGTGGAGTTACAACCATATATCAGACAGGATACCCAAATCACAGAATCTAATTGGTTCTTCTACGAAGATGCAAAGGGCTATGCATACCTAAGTCAACATAGAACATGAGAATTAAGTCAAAAGAGGTCTAGATGTATATCCTAGGCCTAAAACCTAAAATAAGGGCATCAGGTTGCTACACCAGTTACAGAGAGATATTAGCTCAATCTAGTTCCTGATGCCTTGTCATCTGAATAGCATTTGCTAATTATGTGGGATTAAGGCGTTCATTCTGTGAAAAGCAGCTAATGTCACATTTGTTAATGTGATATGCCAATATGAGGCAAGCCTACTAATATTATACATGGCTAGGACATAGAGAGGGAGATACCCGGGGGGACAATAACAACACATATCACATGCACAATAGTAGTTATGAGGAAGCTTACTAATGTAGGATTGCCAAAAAAAATAAAAATAGGAAGTGAAGGAGGGTTATGGACAACATGGTTTTAGCTGCTGAACTAGGAGAAGCAAAAGGTGTTCTTTACACAAGTTCTTTCACTTGAAGACAATGCATACAGAAAGCTCCAGTATTCTCAATTCTGTTTGATGGCAGGCAATATATATGTTGTAGATTAAAGATGGCCAGGGAGAGGACGTGAGAATTGATTGGGAAATTATAGTACTTATTTTTCTTCAGGATTTGGTACTCGTGGACACCTCGATCTCTAACAACCATGAAGAGATATCTTATTTGGGACGTTAAGTGCTTTATATTTCATCAAGCTGGAGTAATACTGCTTCACTTTCAGGCCAGCCAACCCAAGGAAAAAACAAACTTTTCTTTTGACTAACCTGATATTGAGACAGGTGCAGCTTTCTATTAACTAACCAAAGCATGTGACCAAGGCATCAAAAACAATACTTGCCTCCATCTGGCGACCTGCAAAGGATGGTACATTTCCTGGAGAGTTCCTTGCTGGCGCTGAAGGTGGTGGCACGTTACCCATCGATGGCCAAGAAAGTCGAGCAAAGAAGGATGTAATAAATTCTGGGAACTATAAGAAAATAAATTAATGGAAGTCAGCTTCTTAATAAGAAATCTGGCAAGTCGTGTTTAATAAAAGGTCCAACATAAGCACCTCAAGCAAGAAATTTTAAGGAGAACGTCATTTCAAAACCATAAAATCAGTTTGCAACTCTACAGTGGTGCTCAGAGTTCTTTACTTTTACGAAGCTTATCACTTGTTTCCTGCATTGCATTATGATATGTTGACATCTGGGCTAACAATTACCTTCAACCACCATATAAAAAGTAAAGTGGAAGGATTAGCTTTGCCTTCCAGCAATAGCATTCAGCCTATAAGACACATCCATATCTAAGCAATTGGTGAGATATGGTGCCTTATTTCTTGTAGTCATTCAGAAGTCAGAACATGGTTTATTCCGAGCAACTTAGAAGGAGAATGTCCAAGTGCATGGAATGGGTATGTTGTTGTAAAACCCCAAAAGCCAATAGTATTGACTAGCTATAATACTCTATATTTGTGCATGCAAGACTAAGTCAAATTCTCCAGCCATATAACAAAGTGAAGTGATTAAGTGTCACATAAATACTTAATACCATGTGACTATGAAGACTATTACAAAGAATGCTTTCTCAATAGAAACGGAACTTTGAGAGAGAGAGGGAGAGAGTATTCTGAAGAACAAGAACAGTGCAAACCTTCACTCTCCTAATACGGAAAATGTTCAAACGATACAAGCAACCTGCAATTATTCCACAGAGCCCGGGTATAATAGATCTTTTCCAGGATGAGAAAAGAAGCTACAAGACAAAATATCAAATGAATATTGGTGAAAAAAAACTCAATCTAGGGACAAAATATAATTAGAAGTCGTGATAAAAATATAAAATACCTGGAGACCAGCTAAATAAATGAAAGCCTTGTCAGAGAAGTGTAGACTGAATATGCGGAACCGGGTAGAAACCGGGATGTCGAGATAAAACGGCACAAAGGATGAAAAAATTAGTCCGTAGGGCCCAGACAGTGTACTCAAGGAAGGATCTGACAGAGAAAAATTAAAACATATCAATGGCTAAGAACCTATTTCTCCAAATCAAGAGTAGCAATAAGAAGGGTAGAATGCAAACTGCATAAAAAAAGCTACCTATACTAATGGAAACTACGAGCGAAACCGGAACGATGTACACCAGAGGGTGTGAAAAAGATCAAAGTAAGTAGATTATTATGGTATTATGGTATAGTCATCTCAAGCACCTCTTTCACGCAAACTTGAGGGAAAAGATCCCTTAAAAATCAAATGCTTAACAAAGATTTGGTACCTAGAAAATTAAGATTTCCAATTTCCAGCAGTTATTGTCGATTCCTACTCCTTCATGTTGCTCTCTATTATGCACATCATACTTCTCAAAAGACCATCTTTGTAGCCAGCTCTCTAAATTTGGAGCAGGTTCTGATGACACACTATAACTAGCCTGCTGCATGACTTATAAAATTGCACCAAATAAGTCTATATTTGATTCAAAACACCTTGTATACAAGGATCTGACACTTCCCTAGTAAAGTACTAGGTACAAGCAAATGTCGTGCTTTGTCGCAAGATATCTCCAAGAAGGTTCTTTTACATAATTATCAAAAGGAGGTTCTTTTACAGATATCAACCATATTAATAACAAGATAACTCAAACCACGTAACCTAAAGGAGCACTAGTATCGTTCAAAGCCTCTAAACCTGTCGAATAGAAACATACTGATTGCTTCCAAACTCTAATTACATCAGCTTCACAATTCCTTTTCCTCGTAGGATATTATGTGGCATTATGAATCAGAGATGATGAAGAGTTGACCAAAATGAGCAGTAAATTCTTTCCAAGAGATGACCAATTGTATACTAAAGAACAGTTGGAGTTGCCCTTAGCAGCGGCTTCTCTTACCCATTATTGATTTTGACTTTCATTTGAGTAATCAACATAAGATACGACAATGCAATTAACAGATTTGACTTTCTCGCTACAGTAATAATACAGGAAGCAGTCACAAATCATAAATTGCATATTCTCTCAATATTCCAACTTATTTTATTTGTTTGTAAATTAATTTGTTGATTTATTAACAGCTCTTCATATGGAGTCCTGTGACTTCTCATCACTATCTCTAATCAATGATGAAGCCAACGGAATTCATAAAAATACTATAATGGCATGGTTGGAGTTCAAAGTTGTGACTTAAAGCAACTTTTGAACCCCTTTATCACTACACTAGAATTATGATTTATGTCAAGGGGATTCAGCAGTTTATATATGACCAAAAGCTTTTATTTTTACCCTATTTGTGCAGTAATACTTTTTACCCTTCCCTCTAACTAGCTCCACCCATGTCTCTAACAACTTGCAGTATCCCAGGAAGTTCTATGCTTTTGGAACTTCTGCTATCACTCTAGGCTGGTGCTTCTCTATGAATATCAAATCACTAATGCAACTTGATCGAGCTCATTTGATATCCCAATGTCTCAAGATACTTTTAGCAACATATCTGCATAATATCACCCAAGCATCTGATTGATCTCATTATTTTTGTGTCAGACCCATAACTCACGAGCAACATCCATCTTATGCGATATGTATGATCATGTCCATCCTACCTCAAAGAGGATACCCAATCCATGAGCCATATTTTACCAAACCAGAATGTAGTTACAGAAATTCAAAGCACGGTAAGAGGAAAAATATGGGGAAGAATGAATATTTATCAAAAGCAAAAATAAGGAAAAAGAAGATAATCACAGTTGTTACATATTTTTTTTAACATCTTTACATGATATGCTGCATGGTTACTGTAAAACAGGTATAACTGTTTGAAGGAGTTGCAATCACAATCTACAACTATAAAGGAGAATGAAGAATATAGACCCCTTCAGGCTGTCATTTCTATATATCAGTCCAGAGTAGTAAAAGTCAAAAGCAACAAGTGCTCACTATGCAACTTATGTCATACGGAGTAAAACTGATGATTACAATGAAAACCATAAACTAAGCATGGAAAAGTTCAATCAGATACTTCAGGGGACTGAATCATGATACCCAAATAAAACATCCCCTTCACTAATGCAGATATTATGGCCAGAAAGTTTGGGGAATATAATAAGGACAAAGGGGAATCTGAATTTAGACTTCGTGTTGCTTTTGGAAGGTTTCTACACTTGTAATTGTTAAGTGCAGTTCCTTTCTCAGTTTAGCTGTTTATCTATTTCCGTCTGTGTTATAAGGGCATTTCATCATTTTATGTTTAAAAGGAGTATTTTTTATATTTTATATTTTTTGAAAAGATGTTTAAAGGTGTATTATGTCTTTCTATCTTCTGGATATCTCCAATTAGTGGTATCTTTGAAACTTGGGCAGCAAGCCAAGTGTAACAAGCTAAGAGCCTTGCAAATGCATTAGACGACTTGCACAGCAAGTCAAGAGTCTTTAGCAGCAAAAGAAGGCTAACAAATTACTCAGAAGAATCTCCGAACGGGCTTCTGGAGAGCCTTCCCTCCAAGCTGCCGTCCTACTAGGTTATGACTTATACAGATGTATCCATATAAGCATTTGAAAAATTAGGATGAAGGATATACTTAGGACTATTCCTCGATCTCTTTCTTATCCTTTTCTCATGCCATACCTCTTATTTGTTCTCTCAATTTCTGCTTATCACCTCTCAGTTACTGTACTTTCTCATATCTGTACAACCTCAAAACATCACTATTTCTTATCTCCCATATTAGCCACATCTCATCCCCCACTTCCACCAGTTCAGGAGCCTAAAGAGCCAATTCTCTATGTTAAACCTTTTTCTCTTTGTATGATCTAGCCGCATTGTTCTGAAACTGCTTTCAATTATTAGTTCTTTCAAATGTTTGATAGCTTATTAGATAAGCATCAGGATGAATAACACAGTAAGAAACTCTAAACACTTTCTATCAAGTCATATCTGATGATTGGAAATGACCAATACCTTTAATAAGTTGTAGAGCAAGAACCGCGAGCAATAAAGAGAGTACAAAAGAGAACAGCAGGAAAACCTGCAGAACAAGAGGTAAAAACATAAACTACACAATGTAAAAGAGAAAAAGAAAAAACAGGAAGAAAAGACAATGAAAACAGTATCTACTGTGGCTTTTATTATTTGCCTAGTAGTTGATTAACACCTGCAACTTTTATCAATTTTCCATTAGCTAATTAAGAAAGTTGAAGATAGTACTGTCCCAATAACTTATCCAAAAAAAAACTACTACCCCAATAAGCACTTACAGAATATTTGTTCGAACCGATTTGCCTCTCAAAGACACGGAAGTAGTATAGCAGATATAATCCAAATAATAGTTCAGGAGTAGATGAAAAGGTAAAAACAGATATGATCAGCTTCCAGATTTGAAGCTTCTGGAAAATATCCTGGCACAAGCAAAAAAGATGCATCAATTAGCAGTTCTACTATACTCTTTAAGGTATCCACTAAGAGCATGCCCAAAATCCTACTGAATCAATGAAATTGTACCTGATAAGACAGTAAGAGAGAACAAATCTGCTACTCCCTCCATTTCAATTTATGTCTCTTACTTTCCCTTTTAGTCTGTTATACAAAGAATGTCTCTTTCTATATTCAGTAACTCTTTTACTCCAACTTTCCACATGGCATATTTAAGACCACAAGATTCAAGAACATCTTTGGTACATTACATACATCTTTAGTTTAAGAGCATAAGATTTAAAGGTCTTCCTTACTATCTTAAACTATGTGCCCAGTCAAACTAAGACACATAAACTGAAAAGGGGGGACTGTAATACAAAAATGTAAACTAGGAGAAAAGAGAATCCTATATTCTGCATAATTTCACAACTCAGAATGGATGAGCTGAGACGAAATAAGTACTAAGTTAAAAGAGAATCCTATATTTCTTAAGTTCCAAAACTCATAAGAAATGAGCTATAAAATGAAAAAAAAATACATTAGAACCTATTTCCCTTAAGTTTCCGGAACTCATAGATGGAGTTGGGTGCTTCTAAAACCATTAGTAGCTGTGTGGGATATCCTTTGCTGTTACAAAAAAGTTATATGTCTTTACGCGGAATTGGGAAATCTCATATCCCTTCAGATTCGGATGTTTGGAGTAAGATAGGATAAGACCATATACGATCTTGTATTGCTATTGGATGATCGATAAAGAGTACTAGGTGATTAGCAACCCTATCAGGAAACCATATAAAATCTATTACTATTGGATAACATAGCTTGTCGGTGTCATAATCACAAACGAATTGTGGTTGCATTAACATCACCTTACATGGTATGAATAAAACCACTTGATATCAATGTTACATGGATTCTTTTCAAGTGGATATGACATTGGTATGACCACTTTATAAGGATCCCTCGAAAGACATTAAGAGGCTACTAAAAATTGAATGTGATCTTGTTAGATCCATAGACAACCTTTACTCAAGCCTGATCAATTGACGTAGTCTAACACATGTGGACTCAAAATTAGCAAGTTGCTAAGTTGCGCGGACTCTTCGATTTTGGTGCCGCCCCCGTCCCGATACGAGACGGGGACGGGACGGAAGCGGGAACGGGAGACGTCCCGGATACGGTCAACTGACTTCGGACACTTTGACCGGAGTCCATCGACAAATTTGGGAGAAAAATTGAGATTTTGATTTCTCAAAATAAAAAATAAAACAGATTTAGGATAATGAAAGAATAATGTCCATCTTGGAGAATGAAAAATTGAATTCTACAATATTCATGTAAGTTTTTCACAGAATATCTCTCAAAATTTACAATACTTCTATAGCTCTATTTTTTATTAGCCGAATCCCCGCATCCGTATCTATATCTGGATCCGCACCCCCGAATCTTAAAATTTAGATTTTGCCGAATCCGATACTCGAATGCGGGGAAGTCCCCGTATCGGATAACCGCACCTGAGTACGAGCAACTTAGGCAAGTTGTATCTGCTAATTGTGCTTAGTCATGGTCTACCCTCTACTATCAAGTTGGCGAAGGAGTTTGTATTGTTATATGTTCATAAACAAGCTATTTATATTATCCAGGGACTAAAATGTAGTAGCTTCATGTAGTGACAAACCCATCTCAAGTTTGAGAAATATAGAAGATAACCTATTTCCTCATGGCCTCAAAACGTAAATATTGGTGAATGGAAAATGACCACGAATGTTGTTAACATAAGCGTTCATGACCTGATGAGCAAAGAGGGTGCACTTGTATGCTCTTGGACATTAAAAGTCGGCAACAACCACAAAATTACTCAACCTCCATTCTCTCTCCCCCTCTCAAAGAAAAAAGTATGTGTACACCTTAAACAACTAACCAGCAGCATCCACTAGGCTTATAATTGGACAAAGGTTAAACCTAGAAAACAATCAAATCAGAGGTGGTTCTCATTTCAAACACAAATCTATGAATCTCCAAGACCAATTGCAGTTATGCACTAAAAAAAAGTAAAACATATTGGGTGTACACTATAGATGTGTTCATTTCCATCTGGATTTTGAGAGTTTTGTATGACGGCGGCGTCTGAGCCAGCTTGCGCGCACCTCGACTAATTCCACGGGGTACTTGCTATATCACCCACCAACACAGGTACCCGGTAATTCTATCCAAGGCTTAGACAGATGGGAAGAAATCACACAATGTTTTTTTGTCAACATGGAGATTTGAATCTTCATTGACCATTAGGCCACACCCTTAGCTCAATATGCACTAAAGATCCAATCTTATATTCTTCTTTTCACAGTCCTAGAAACCCTAAAACTTAATTCAACTCAATACTTAGCCCCATTCAGTAAAATTACACAGAAAAAAAAATACCTAATTCACAGTACTAGAAAAATTATCAAAAGAAAAAGGATCGAAATAAAGAGAAACCCAGAAAGTAAAAAGTACCTGATAAGACCAACCCAGCTGATTTGCACGGCCTTGGGTACCAAATATGATGGTGAAGAGGGTACACGCAATTACTAATGCCCTTGTCACTGGCGCATTGTCTATTGTTAAAATTACAACATCAAAGTGAAAATTAGAATTAGAAATCAATTGCTATAATTCATGCATCAAAATAAAGTGTATAAAGATAGAAATTGATGAGGGATTAAAACGTACTGAAACCAGATGGGCCAACGTTCATTTTTGCAGCGATTACAACGAGCTTTTTCCCTTTACTATTTTACCACTTTGGCTAAGTCCTGCCTCTTCTGACTTCTCTGTTCCTCAGCGAGATCAATTTTTCGCAAGTCGGAAATAAACAAGGTAGTTGGAAAACAATTGGTCTAAAACTATGTTTAGACCGGAACTAATACGGTTTTCTTTTAGTTGTTTAAATCCTTGTTTTCTCAAATTTATTTTAAGACCGTCCTTTTTTCTCTCTGTCTTTTTTTTTTTGATTGAGTTGTAGACCGTCCTTTACTTTTTAACAAAACAACATAAATGCAAATAATAAGTTGTACCTCTTTGTAACATTATTCTTAGGGTTCATTTGGTATGTGGTATAAAAAGGTATAGTGTTGGTATAAAAATTTAATATCATCTTAATACTTTGGTTGGTTAGCAAATTTGGTATAAGTTATTCCGAGATTAAAATTAGTATCGGGATAACTTATACCTTATAGAGGGTGGGGTAATTAGTGTCGGTATAACTTATACCTTCTTCATAGAAATTATGCAATTGTTAGTTTTAATACAACATTTCAAATTGTGGATAAAAAATAATATCAGGATAACTAATCCCAGCATAACTTATTCCAGCATAACTTATCCCGGCATAAGCCGTATTCAAACCAAACGACCCTTATTATTTTAGCTTTCTATAATAACTTTTTACCTATAATAGCAACAATCATCTTTATGTCAACTAGTCTTTAAGGTGCATGCCTTGCGCGTGTACCCCATCTCGATGAGTGAATTTTTCAAATATATATATAGATATTCATTAAAACTGTTTAAGATTGTAAATAAAAATTTCAGCTCCAGAGTTGAAGAATTTTGATCATATATAT